AATAATAATAATAATAATAATAATAATAATAATAATAATAATAATAATAATAATAATAATAATAATAGTAATAATAATAATAGTAATAATAATAAGCTTTACCATATCTTTAATGTCTTTCATTGGGTCATGTGCAATCAAAAAGAAAATAGACAAAAATCGTGCATGAAGTTGATATCCGCCACAATATTTTACAAGGCGCGACGCAAATGATAAGCGAACTTGATAACATGGATCCTTCAATATTGTTTATTTATTTTGTTTGATAAAAAAATATTTAGAATTGCGATGAAGCACAGAAAGACAAAATGATACTAATACGTACTTGTATCATTAACGCCAGTTCTTGAAATTGTTCAACAGTTATCATTTCATCATAAACTTTCTTTTGAGCCAATTTCAGTATAGAGCGTGCAGCCGCCAAGCGCAACCGGCTCTGAAATGAGGGACTTCATAACGATGACAAATTAATATTTGCAACATATAATAGATTTACATAATAATCATTACCTAGTTGATTTATCTGGAAGGAGCTCACCACCTCCACGAATCAACGTCCATAGTAATTTGAAAACTGGCTTTGCTATGTCGGCTACCGCTTCCGTCTCGGAAACAGCCACTAAACGGTTAACAAGGACCTTCAAACCAAGCACCTATTTTAAAATAGATTTTAAAATAGTATATATTTTTTATTATTTAAATTTTACTGCCCAATAAATCATATGAAATAAATATATTGGCAATTGACAAGTAGACAATATGAATATTTTAGAGAAAATATCCTTCATCATTGTATACTACATCGTTGCCAATATTAAAAAGCTAGACATATAACATGGTTTTCAATAATTATATATAAGTAAATACCTTTGCTTTACACTCATCATCAAGCTCATCATCATCAACCCAGTCAACATCTGTCTCCATAGCAGTCTATTAAAAGAACAATACTCATAGGTAAATTTTGGTTAAATTGATAAATAGATTACTGAACATTAATAGTATAGACATACTTTATGACTGGATTTCATGATGAGCTGTTTAACAATGAAGTTAGTTATAGCATCGCTTTTTTCTTCATACGTCTTCGGGGAATAAAGTACGCATTGGCTTAACACAGATAAATATGCTAAAATGTTTGGAGATGTTATTGAAAGTTTGGGCACGATTTTCTGTAATTAAGTGTGTTATGTGGCATACAAAATGTAAGTTATTTTCGAACATAAAAAAGAATATGTAACAAGTTTGATTACCCACTTTCAATAACTCGCCACATATTTGTTGCTTGTGACGAACGTGGCTCAACACAATAGCAGCAAATTTTGCCTGGAGGCAAGATCCTTCAAGGGCAAATTCCATAAGTCGTTGTATAGATTCCCTTTAAAAGCATTTTATTAAAATATGCAATAAATTAAATGTAGCAACATATTATGGACCTTTACAAACTTATCTTGCGGAGCTTCATCAGGAAAAGCTATTGATAATTTAGAAAGAGCCTCCAAGCTATCATCAACTTTTTGAGATAGTAAACTTGATTAGAATTCTTGCAACTATTCAAGGGTTATCAGTGTAATAATACCTATTAGTGAATCCTCTTCTTCCTTAAGCGCTCTTATTAATTTATCGAGATGTGGTCTAAGTATTGCAGGAAATCTAGATGAAATATCCTATGTATCATAACGAAACCGAAGTTCATGTTATTTAGAGGATATCTACATCATTAATTAATAATTAGGTCCGTCAATATATAACAAAACCAACCCTAAACAACTCATGTGCAACAATCGAATTTTCATTTCGTTGTTCTGAATCTATCGATTTGATCTTAGTTATGAGAAAAGGTATTAAGTCCTTATTAATGATTGTCAAACTAATTCTACGAATAAGAATGGAAAATGTTTCTAAAGATGGCGGAGTAATCTGCTCGATACGTTTGAGAGCATCTTTCTAGTATAAAATTAATGAAACATTAGGGATATATAATATTTAATTTAAGCGAAAGCGAAATTGTAGAAAATAACTAACGGCAGATTGTCGAACAGTCTTATAGTCCGATTGTGGATTCATACAATCCCTTATCAATTTATAAACACGAGCATCATGATTTTGAGGAAAAGTAGATAAATGATTTATAGATTTGAGTGGATCGGGAAGTTTGTCTAAATGAAATTGTATTATAAAGATTTTAATGATATATATAAAAGTTACTTGTCAATTCACAATAAAGTCATAAGTTTCCAACTGACCAGCGATACGCCGAACAATTTGGTTTAAAGTATTATCAACTTCTTCATTAGTACCATTATCCTGAAATCCATTATGTATGTTCGAATTTTAAAGATTAGAATCGAACAAAGACTTTCTGAAAACAAGAATATTTAAATATGTACAAACTTTATATTGTTCGCACGATCTCAAAAATGTTTCCATATCATTAATAGCACTGTGTTTTTTTTCACAATTATTATTACTATGGATTTACGGCATTAATAAAATATATAGTTCATCATGAAAGTCTTACTCTCGTTGTCTCTGAAACAGAGAGAAAACCCCTTTTTTTGCTTTCGCGTCTAAGGAACCAAATATCACGAGAATACGGTCCATGCGTACTGAATCTTCATTATTAGACAGTATCTCTTCATGTAAAGCCTTTTCAACGCATGAGCTACGCGTAAAAAATAGAAATTCAATTAGACAATGGCTCCAAATTGGAATTAAAGATAAAAAAAAATTTCCTAACATTATTTCATTATCATTTGTGTAGAGTGTGTTTAGTATTTCTGATGGAATCCACCCAAACTTTTCGATTGCGTTCGCGTCGTGATCGACTCTAAAAATATATATATCAAATTGTACTTATGGTCATGTGTTAAATAATTAAAATATAATATAATTAGGCTCACATTTCTATGTAAGCCAAATTGTACAAGCGTGCCAAAGCATTTATGGCTTGTTGCCTGACACTATGCTACAAAATATTATAAATAATCAAATTAGGCAGGTAAATAAGAGAAAAAAAATAAACATACATTTAAATATTGGCAAAACTTATAATTTATACATATTATACACGGATCTTACTTTGCGATCCCGACAACGTTTAGCTAACTCAATAAAAAGCTCCTTCTCTATAAGTTTTGAGGCACATTCATATTCTAATTTGCTGAAAACTTTGCATACAGCGACACGAACTTTCTCATCAGGATCTGACATCTTGGTAATAATAGCCTCTAATAGAATTGAATTACGTAATTGACTAAATATTTGCTAATTTTTTTTATTTTTTATATTATTTAGCATCGTAAGTATATAGTATTAAGCTACCGTTGACTTGTTTAGCTAACTCATGATGATTAATGTAAAGAGGCAAGCAATATTCCGTCCAAGCACATCGTACTTCGGCTATTTTATCGTTTCGCCTATAAATTCAAATTGAATTGTAGTAGTAACAATATTACAATTTTTATGTTACGAAAACAAACCTGAGAAGCCACATCTTCCATACATTATCATAACGACTAGCTAAGGTAGAATCCTTCTCGGAAAACATTTCACCGAGAACTTGTGTAGCACGCATACTCAGGTTTAAACCATCCAGCTCGAACAAAAAGCCAAATTAAAAATATGGATAAAAAGCATGTAAGAATTAATAAACATTAGTACTGACTTTTAGCTCCTCTTCTAATTGTGGTATGACGTTAAGTAACAACCCAGGTGCTGATCGATTTAGCTCTTTTATTAGATCATGTGCTGTTTTAAAATCGTTTAGTTCCTCTGTGGGTGCACCGGTTTTGCCGGCAGCAACAATAACATCAGTGAAATACTAAATGTTTGTTTTAAATCAATTATAATTTAATACAACTTTTAAAGGTCAAGATCATAATCCGTATAATGTACCTGGCAAACGTATCGCTGAAGCTTCTCTGTTGATGCCTTGCAAACATCGCATGCTAATCTGTATGCTGTCGGGTTTTCATCCTAATGGTCAAAACCAAAATATGTTAATAATGAATATGCACATAATGATTAAACGCAATTGAAATATGTTAAAAAAAACGAAGATTTACTTTTCGTTTTTGTAAGAATTGAGCAAGTATAATATCGATGACATCCTGAGGTAATGAGTGGCTTTCATTTATTAACTGTTCAAGGATGTCTGCCATATGCAAGCGAACAGTACTAGACATATCCGGTCTGTAAAATATAAATGATTAAACTATTGTATTAGTATAAAAAGAAAAGTATGGTTTCAAACCTGACGATATCGAATATGCTTTTGAATAAATCACATAAAATCTCTTCATGATTTTGTAGATCTAATATTAACAAGACTATTTTCACCCTAGCCAAATTCTCGAGCAGGTGAAAATAAAGATCGAAATATGTTCCATTTGTGTTTGCGATATTTTGAAGTTGGTGAACAAAAAATTCAAAAATGCTCTAACAGGTTCAAAAATAATTATATTAACCAAATGTGAGGTTTATTTTTTTTAAAAAAAAAATTGTTGCTTGGGTTATGTTACCCTTAATTCTTTATCAGTATATGGAGCATCCGGCGCGTAAAGTCTCAATAGATCAGATATACAGCAAGCGGCGTAAGCTTTTACACCTTTGTCTTTATGGGAGAGTAGAGAATTATGTATAAGTTCACGAGTCACGTTCTTCAAAGAATCGGTTTCTATCTCTTCTTGATCTGTTTTAGAAATTTCTCCAAATAAATTCTATTTTAATTAAACCAAACTTTTTAGTATTTTTGATATAAAGATCAAATAAACTAAGTTCTCAAGTACCTTTAGTCGTTTTAACAACTCTTGTGTAGTAATTGGTTTCGCTGACGATGTTACAAGCTTCTGTTTAAATTGAAGACGGTTTAACCGCGAACCAGATCCCTTTCCAGTAGCCATTTGTTAAAGCAATTCTCGAGAACGTGTTTTTTGGAGATAGTGTTTATATACATTTATTTGTTTCACGCTACAAATTAGGTAGATAATCTAATCACGTGACAGAAATTTTGCACAAATTTTCTAATTGCCTAACAAATTTAACACAGTATGTTCGTAATCTAAGTTTTATGTTCTTGAAGAACATCGAATTTCGCACACTGCCTTGCCGTGCCAGGGCCGCAATCGGCAAAGACCATGATTTAAACCAGTCTTTTGAATTGGTTCAAGTGGTCCCCAAGTACATACTTCGAAATTACTTTCCTAATTGAGAAACCATAATCAATAATAAAACAACCGAATTGAATCGTTGATAAAACATCTTGGAATTATAGTTAATTATAGTTATGAAATTTAAAGACGGATGATACTCCCATCATCTATTTTAAATTGTATAGCTTACCTTACAGCGCTGCATATACGTAGTACCCCTTGAAGTATCCCTATTCAATGAAGTCGTTTAAGTTTTTTAACAAATTTGTAAATTAAAAAATCACGTGATGAATGTAAACGACTATATACCTGTGCGGCAAAAGGTTACTTTTTTGATAAACGCCGATCATACCCTAAATTGAGGTGGTGTTCTTGATGCTTAAAAATTTAGAATTTGAGCAAAAATATTTTGATGGCCACCTAACAAAATTTAACAATTTTTTATTTTAATTCTTTAGCTCTGTAGAATCAAAATAAAAAAAAACTCGTCAAATTTGGGTAGGTGGGTGGTTGTTGAGATATCTTCACTCAAAGTCCTGAAAACATTAAAACGTCTATTAAAATAAAAATTTTATAAAGCTTTGAGCGAAGATATCTCAGCGACTACCCATCTAAATTCAATAAAAATTTTTTATTTGTTTCTATAAATCACTAGAATCAAAATAAAAGAAAGTTCATCAAAATTTTGCTAGGTGGTTGCTGAGATATATTCGCTCAAAGCTTTGAAACATGAAGCATCTATCAAAATAGCTGCGGTCAAATTTTTGAGAAAAGATATCTCAGCGACCACTCATCCAAATTCGATAGTTTTTTTTCTGCAGATCTGTAGAATCAAAATAAAAAAATGTTTGTCAAATGTAGATATCTTCGCTCAAAGTTTTAAAACATGAAGCGTCTATCAAAATAGCTGCGGTCAAATTTTTGAGAGAAGATATCTCAGCGACCACTCATTCAAATTCAATAGTTTTCTTTTATTGTTTCTGCAGATCTGTAGAATCAAAATAAAAAAATGGTTGTCAAATTTGGCTAGGTAGTTGCTGAGATATCTTCGCTCAAAGTTTTGAAAACATTAAAGCATTTATCAAAATAGCTGCGGCCAAATTTTTATAAGTTTGAGCGAAGATATCTCAGGGACCACCCATCCAAATTCGATGAATTTTTTTTTTATTTTGATTTTACAGAACTATAGAATCAAAATAAAAAAAAGTTTATCAAATGTAGCTAGGTGGTTGCTGAGATAGCTCAAAGTTTTAAAAACATGAAGCGTCTATCAAAATAGCTGCGGTCAAATTTTTTGAGAAGATATCTCAGCGACCACTCATCCAAATTCGATAGTTTTTTTTTTTGTTTCTGCAGATCTGTAGAATCAAAATAAAAAAAAAAGTTTGTCAAATTTGGCTGGGTGGTTGCTGAGATATCTTCGCTCAAAGTTTTGAAAACATTAA